CGTAAATCGTTCCAGGATAGTACTGTTCCTGTCCATGATTATTGTTTATCCTTTGCGAGAACAAGCCTGTTCTGCATCAACGAACCCCCCTGGATCGCACCAGGCAACCAGCTGCGTGACGTCGCTTAGCCCCGAGAACGGAGGAGGCGTGTGCGCCACTTATCGCTTCGAGAGCGGCGCCACCCGGCTGAGGCTGAGAGCCCGCACCACGGAGGGAGACTACGGCGACGTGCGCATGACCGTCGTCGCCAAAATCCCCCCCAAGAAGTCTGCACAGGTGCATTGCGGCGCGATACATCGTGTTGTGTTTTTTCCATGGGGTCTTTCGCTTGACGATCGTTCCTGAGATGTCCCTTACACTCGCGAGGACACGATACGATACAACACAGAGGTGCTTGGTTGACAGCGAGATAGAGAGCTGTCCTCTTGCCACCAATCTCCAGCGGACGAGTGTCGCCGTCCTGGTGACCGGTTCACGTAATTTCGACGACGCCACAACATGATCGCCGCGGTCGCTTGTAAGCAGGTCATACACTTCTCGATGAAGCCGCTATCCCTACACCACAGGGTGCACGCGATTCCTCGCGATCTGCAGGCCCGGCCGATGAACGCTCTCGTCCTTCGAGGCAATTTCACAATGCAGGTTATCCATGACTGGCTGGCCATGTGTCTCCCCGACGTGCCACCTCGGTGAGCGAAGACGTGGAAGAAGTAACGTTATGCGATGCACCATTACGCCGCTATTTCTGCTTGGCGATATTGTTTAGCGTGTTGGCGGACGTGTAGTGTTTGTTGTTGTCGCTGTTGTTGTTGTTGTTGTTGTTGCCACCATTAAGAAGAAAGTGTTTAGGCCTCTGCGAGTCAGCGTCTCCCCCTCGTGCTTTGAATGAAGTGTTTCTACCGCGTCGTAGACGTGAGGGGCGAGGAAGCGCTTGAGGCCGCCAGCTATAGCGAGATTAACCGCGTGTTAGCAACCAACGAAACGCCTTGGAAAGTGCACCTAGTAGTGCAGGCAATTTGAACGGTATCGCTTCTAACGAAGGACAAGCGTCTTAGCGACCGAAATAGCACCGCAGAATCAAAGAAAGAAAGGGGGTGGTGGCGTCACTTTCCCTGTTATTCCTTGTGAACGACATCACGAAGGATATCGGAAGAGGCCGAGGACGCGACGCTTAATTTTGAGAACGTCTTTACCGGAGGCATTCTGACGGCGTCGTACAGGCGAGGGGCGGCAGTACTCAGCTCGGACAGCGCGAGCACGCTGGCCATCGTCAAGGAGCTCATCAGCAAGGAGGCCACCTCTCGTCGCGTGCACATCACAGATACATTCCAGGTGCTTGTTTGGTTTCCATTTGTACCAAGATGCAGGAGTACCGCTGTTGGCGACGCGACCGTGCAACTGACTTCTTGCAGGTCAACTTATCTCCACCACCAACCGTCGTTGTTTCTCTCAACTTCTTATCGATGTTCTTCGTCTCTTTGTCTGTCGCTGTTCACCTTCGTTTGTGATTCCCTTTGCGTTTGAATCGTCTCAGGAAACTTTGTAGAATCAACCTGGTTCGTTGAATCAATCCTTTGGGTTGTCCCCGAAAAGGCACTTCTTGCGAGCGCTTTGTCGCTCGACTACGTTTGCGGGTGGGTGGGTGCCTCCGTGAACAGGAAACACTCCATACGCAACCCCAAGCGATCAAATTTTTGTCGAAGAGACTGAACAAGACAACCTATATAGATTATAGTACCTTGATCAACCTACGATTAATGAAGGAACAACAGTGAGGGCGACGAAGACCGAGCAAGGATGTTGTTCATCCTCGCAGGCCCGTTTAAACAATACAAGCACATCTCAACTTCCATCCATTGGCATACTTTCTACGCTCCTCCCGTATGTATGGCCGTGGTATTGCCTTAATTCGTCTCTTTCGCCGCATTACCAACATCCCGGGTGCTCGTTTGGACGGATGTACTGCATCTCGTTCGACGGATCGGCGAATCCTCTGGATGGATCGCGGAATTTCCATGGATGCTTGTCCGCTTTGGGGCGGAACGGATGGCAATTAAACGGCTTCCTCCGGAAAAACTCTGCGGGCTGACATCTATAACAGGGAGAGCCAGAATCGATCCCCGTGTTTCTTAAGCTGCTGGACCCGAAGCTCAACAGGCAGTTTCAGCTCGCCCACCAGGTAGAGTGCCCTAAACACGAGTTACTGTGTGCGTAGAATACGTGCTGGGGCCGTTCCATATTGAAGGGATGTGTAACAACGCCGATGGTGTATTGCTTCTCTTTTTTGTTGCAAAACCGTCCGCAGGTTGAGCTCATGGGTGCCTTGAACGAAGTTTCGATGCAAGAGCCCGAGACGCCGTGGATGTTCGAGGAATACCGTTACATCCTGGACAACGCCGAGCGAATACAGAAGGTGCCATGCGATGTCGTGCCATCTGCGGAATAACTTTCGGACAAGACGTTCCTCCCGGAAACAATACAGAGCCTGATGTGTAGACTAATACTGCCGGAAAAATGAAGGACACGCGAACGAAAAACGCACAGATCTTTCTCAAAGTACTTAGGATGGTATGCAAATAGTCATGCGGCGCTGTGTTCAGCTGTGTTCAGTTATGTCTTGCTGGTCGTGTCGCCTTCCTCCCAAACACGTTTCTTCACATGGCGTACCGGTAGGGCACATTGTAAAATGCGCGTACATAAACTTATGGCCATTGCAAGGCGTGGTCGCCATGCAGTATCGTACAGGTGTATCTCGAACAACACCGCACTCGCCCGAAGGCTAGAATCGTAGAAAAGCTTCAATGAGTGCACTTTCGTGGGGAACCGACGTCGAATCGCGAAGTTTATATCACCCAATAAGATGAAACAGGTATCACCCACCGCCTGCTACATGTAATTCTACCAACTAAACGCCATGTGGGTTCTGGACATGGACGTGACATAGAAACGACGGCTTCTTCGCATTATTTATGAAACTCACCAGCCGGGGCTACGTGTAGTGGTGGTGCAACTTGTTTTCGTTGGTGCTGCGTAACGTTGGTGTGATTTCGCGGAACATGTCACTCACCACGATTATATCAGGAGTTCAAGGGCCGACCAAGAGCCCTCGAGTACATTTCGGGAATCATCACCGATCTTTACGTCGACTGGCATAAATTCAAAGGTATGGAACGGTGAAGGAAGGAAAAAAGATACGATGTATTTCCTTGCGCTAAATAAAAAATCAATATGTAGGTATGGATGTGTTGACTGGGTACACGGGCTGCATCGGCCGGGGTTCCGACAGGTCCAGAGATGAAGGTGCAACCGGCCCCAGATTTATATGGGGGAGAAACAACCTCCGTAGCTCGCTGTCTCTACGTTTAGACCCATACTGGGAGACATTTGTTGGACTCTGTGACTTTAACCGCTCCCGAAACTCTGCTGCATATCCTCCTCGTGTTGTCCAATCTACCAAAACACATGATACAGGTGACGACGCTCGGCACCGCATCCCGGACCTGGAGCACCTGCTAGCCACCCAGTACGACTACAAAGCCCTGGTGGTCTTCTTTCTGAAACATCCTTGATGCTCTCTGCGGGGAACCTGGAAGGCGGTTCCACTCATCAGCAAGCACGGTCGTGGTGTAGTGCTATGAGACGTCCGCATGCGTTGGTAGATTGGCCGGGGCAGGGGGTTGAGTTTCCACCGCTCTCGTTCTGCCATAGACAGGTCGTCGACCTCCTCGGAGGAGAACGAACGTTCGCTTGAGGATATCGATATTCTTTCGCGGTTGACAAGCATGATACGCTCTACTTTTGGAGGCATGATTTTATGCATACGGGTTACAATATAAGAACCACCGGTTTTCAACGCGCACTAGCCCTCTCCCGGCGTGGCTTAGTTGCTCTTGTCTGACCAGTGAACTAGAAAAAAGGCGAAACAAAGATGGCGAGCTTGGAGGTATGTAGGTGCAGCTGCTGCTTGTGTTATGAACCTGAGCAGGTTTTGATTTATCAAGGAGGAGGCTGAAGGACGTACAAGCGTGGGGCACCCTACAGATGATGTCAGAACACCTGTAGTCTCGTTGCGATTTGAGAAACGCTACAACTTTTTGTGGTTACGTGTTGTGTGAGGAATTTTGAGATATGATGTAGCGTCTATTGGCCAGTATCTCCCGCTGATCGAGCTACGCTCTAGTGAGAACTAGCGCCAGTAACAACAACAACGGTTCACGGCGCGTGCAGTGGTTAGAGTGTTAGGGACTACTGTACCGGTCGCCTGGTGCCTGGTGTAGTTGTTCCTGTTTCTGTGGTATGTTGTTGCCGTCGTGCATGGGGTAGCAACAGGAGATTTTCTTTTGGAGGATCTGAGCAAAGCTAGATGACAGGTGGCTGATTGCCATGTGAAATCCGTGCGACAGCAACAAGGCGAGCGAGATCTCAGTGGGCCAATTCCGGGATCTTGTGGCAATATATTGGTTGAGCGGTAGATCGTTAGCGATTGATTGGGTGCAGGCGACTAACTGAAGCACGAGTTGATTCTGACATTTTGATCGTAGAAAATGGATCAATTGATCTGAAAGGCCACTGTTTCTCGACCCACCAAGGACATGTACACCAGTGAAACGGATAAAAACCGTGGCCGCCGAAAAAGCGGGCAGCGATAACTGTATGTAGCGAGCCAGTAGGATTTGTGACAGATTCGCCCGAAAAAAGCAAACACAGGGCTTTAGACACTGATATTGAGGGTTAACCATCTGTATCCCTGTCTATCAGCCACGTATGTATGAGAATGGATAGATCATGAGATAACCAAACAGCCTGGGGCATTTATTAGTTGCCGCCTTTGTGTCCTTCCTATTCACACGCAATCAGAAACAATGTGCATGATGTTCTCGAGTACACCATTTTGCAATCAATTTTATTGTGTCGTCATCGTCATTTCCAATCCTGCTATACCCTCTCGAACCAAAGGCCCCGACAACGAAAATCTTGGCCAAAAACTGTCGCCGACAACGGCATAGCGGCCAAACATCCCCAGAGTTGGCAAAAAAGCTGCGACAGAAGACGACAACGCAATGAGTTCAACTCTTCACACCCATACTTTGACTTGTCGCGCGCGCTTAGCAAGCAACAGAGGCAGGCGCTAAACCCGTGTTTTGATTAGATACCACGTCAAGTTCACTGTTGAAGCTCTGCCCAATTTTCCCGCGCAATCTAAAATACATTGCGTCTGCCCCCAAAAGTGTCTTCGTCCCCCCGCGATTGAAACCACCACAAAAAATCAAGCCAAAAACAAGCCAATAGCAAAAAACAGTTAGCAACCCTGACGGTGTGGAAAATATCAAGGAAGAACACTTAGGCATTCGCTACAGGGCGCGTCCACCCCTGCGTTGCCGCGCAATACCCAAGAATTGGAACACAGTAGTGGCAGCACACAACGAACATTGGAAGAGGGACGCCAACAAATCGATCCCAGCTAAAGGTTGGCCGGTTGTCACTAGGATTGCCAAGGCAGTCCCCACGACGCTTGTGTCCGCGCTCCAAACAACATGAAAACATTCAGGGAGGACAAGAAACACAAACCTGAAAACTGTAATTTTGCCCAGCCCCCCTCCAGCCGCCAAACCTCGAACACGGCAAAAATGAACCACCCGTATGAAAATTTCAACTGTACTGCTCCAGATTCTGCTCCCGCTTTTTCGATAACGTCGTGTGACAACAATCGAGCTGCACCCCCCCTCCCCCCGCCCCCCGCAATATCGACTACCCTTGCCCGTAGTCTTACTCCCGCGTGAATCAGACACAATTTCTGCCTTTAGCAAGTTCGGCAGACGCTACAATACAAGACACACAGTAGCAAATGAATTCTGCCTTGGGAAGGTTGTGGCAGCACCCGTTGCACCGAGCATAACCTCTTCGCTTCGTCCACCGCGCGCGAGGGTCGCCCCGCCTCCATCCAAAAAATATGATATTCTACTTCCCATCGCGAAGCTCAAATCGTAGAACTCACACTTGTCCCCAGACGGGTGTATGCCGAAGGCGCGTGTCAACCACAAAGATTACGAACACGCGCGACTTCAAGGGTTGCTGTGTGGTTTAAGTGTTTATTTTAACACTCGATGCACTCGCAGTCGTCCGGGAGGCCTTGCTCGGTACAGAAGTTATCGCAGCTTGTCGCGCAGAAGCGGCAGCTGAAAAAAATGAAGAACGTACGAGGACGGCGCCGAGGAAGGGAGGAGGTAAGACGGTGAGAGTGCTGACGTAGAGAGAAGGGTTACGGTCGGGAGTAATTGAAACGAGGGGTTTTCCGGCGACATTACTCCCTCCTCTTCAACCCTATATTTGTCGCTTACGCAGGTATACCTAAGGTGTACGTCCTCTGTGCAATATCCTGTGGTTGTTGAGGGGCACGACAACGGTGAAGATTATAGTAGTTCGTATCGCACCCCAGTTAGGGAGGCAAAGGAAAGCACTTACCCGCTGAGCCCCAAGGCGTCGCACCACAAACCACCGTCGATGAGGCAACTCTCCTCGCAAGTCAGCCCGCGGCTCCGCTCCACCAGAAGGCCCTTCATCGAAGGCTCCAGCTGGTCGTAACAAGTGTCAGAGTCGCCGGGAGTGCATTCCGTGAAGGTCACGCCAGATGTGGGAGAAGCGGACATAATCGGAATACCGCGCAACGTGCTGGAAGTGGGAGAGGTCGTCGCGATCTCGCGCGAGGCGCTGGTTGGCGACTGCGCCTCGAAGTCGATTCCTCCCCGCGACAGGTCGTTGCTTGCAGTTGGTGATTGGGTCTCGAAGTTGAGCCCGCCCCGTGATCCATCGCTCGTTGTCGGGGACTGAGTCTCCCTGTAGACCCCCCTCATACCAGGAGTAGGGGATGGAGTCTCATAACCAGTTGATCCCGGTGTAGGCGACACCGACGGCTCAAGGGTCTCGGAGGTAGTAGGTGCCATAGATGGTGAATCGATCTCCCGGTCTGTTGTGGTCGGCGAAGCAGTTTGCGAAGTGGTCGGCATTCCGTCAGTAGGAGCCGAGGTAGAGTCGACGACGCTGGTGGGAGCCATAGATGGTGAATCGATCTCCCGGTCTGTTGTGGTCGGCGAAGCAGTTTGCGAAGTGGTCGGCATTCCGTCAGTAGGAGCCGAGGTAGAGTCGACGACGCTGGTGGGAGCCATCGATGGTGAATCGATCTCCCGGTCTGTTGTGGTCGGCGAAGCGGTTTCCACGGTCGTCGGCATTCCGTCGGTAGGAGCCGAGGTAGAGTCGACGACGCTGGTGGGAGCCATCGATGGTGAATCGATCTCCCGGTCTGTTGTGGTCGGCGAAGCGGTTTCCACGGTCGTCGGCATTCCGTCGGTAGGAGCCGAGGTAGAGTCGACGACGCTGGTGGGAGCCATCGATGGTGAATCGATCTCCCGGTCTGTTGTGGTCGGCGAAGCGGTTTCCACGGTCGTCGGCATTCCGTCGGTAGGAGCCGAGGTAGAGTCGACGACGCTGGTGGGAGCCATCGATGGTGAATCGATCTCCCGGTCTGTTGTGGTCGGCGAAGCGGTTTCCACGGTCGTCGGCATTCCGTCGGTAGGAGCCGAGGTAGAGTCGACGACGCTGGTGGGAGCCATCGATGGTGAATCGATCTCCCGGTCTGTTGTGGTCGGCGAAGCGGTTTCCACGGTCGTCGGCATTCCGTCGGTAGGAGCCGAGGTAGAGTCGACGACGCTGGTGGGAGCCATCGATGGTGAATCGATCTCCCGGTCTGTTGTGGTCGGCGAAGCGGTTTCCACGGTCGTCGGCATGCCGTCGGTAGGAGCCGAGGTAGAGTCGACGACGCTGGTGGGGGCCATCGATGGTGAATCGATCTCCCGGTCTGTTGTGGTCGGCGAAGCGGTTTCCACGGTCGTCGGCATGCCGTCGGTAGGAGCCGAGGTAGTCTTCACGACGCTGGTGGGAGCCATAGATGGTGAATCGATCTCCCGGTCTGTTGTGGTCGGCGAAGCGGTTTCCACGGTCGTCGGCATTCCGTCGGTAGGAGCCGAGGTAGAATCCACCACACTGGTCGGGGCTATAGACGGTGAAGGAAGCTCCCGGTCTGTTGTGGTCGGCGAAGCGGTTTCCACGGTGGTCGGCATGCCGTCGGTAGGAGCCGAGGTAGAGTCCACGACGCTGGTGGGAGCCATCGATGCTGCAGGGAGCTCCCGGTCTGTTGTGGTCGGCGAAGCGGTTTCCACGGTGGTCGGCATGCCGTCGGTAGGAGCCGAGGTAGAGTCCACGACGCTGGTGGGAGCCATCGATGCTGCAGGGAGCTCCCGGTCTGTTGTAGTCGGCGAAGCTGTTTCCACCGTAATCAGCATGCCGTCAGTTGTCCCGGTAGACGTGGAAGGTGCATCCGTGTACGAAGGTTCTAGCATGCTCCCATCCGTAAAAGAAGGCGCAGTAGTCTCCACCGCGTTGGTGGGAGCCTTAGATGCTGCAGGAAGCTCCCGGTCAGTTGTGGTCGGTGCAGGGGTTTCCACCGTGTTGGGCATGCTGTTGGTTGGCTCGATGGTAGTGGTAGGTGCATCCGTGTACGAAGGTCCTAGCGGAAGCACGGTCCCATCCGTGATAGACGGCGAGATAGTCTCCGCCGCATTGGTGGGGGCCAAAGATGCCGCAGGAAGCTCCCGGTCTGTCGCGGTCGGTGAAGGGGTGGGGAACGCCGTAAGTATTGGCACCCCGGCTGCAGGAGAAGCAGTCGACAAGCCATCAGTTGGCTCGGCAGAACTGGTAGGTGCAGCCACGTACGAGGGCTCTAGTGGTACCATGCTGCCATCCTCGAAGGACGGTGCGGGAGTCAGATGAGTACCGGAAGATGGTGACGATGTCGGGGACATCGTGGTCTCGATGCCACGTGAACCACTAGACAAAGAGCTGGTCGGTGACGATGTCGGAGACATCGTCTCGACGCCACGCGAGCCATCTACTGCGGACGGAGCCATGGTGGGAGAACCAGACATGATGGGGATGCCTCGAGAGCCGTCCGTTGGCGAGGGCGCCGGTGGCGCCCTTGGGGCTCCGCACAGGATGCACGAGCTACAAGATGCTTCACCGTCGCAGATGGAGGTGCAGTCGTCGGTACACATGCGGCATCTGTTCCGGAGGGGGAGAGACAGAGAGAGAGACGGAGGGACAGAGGGACAGAGAGGGAGAGGCGAAGAGAGTGAGTGAAAGAAGAAGAGAGAGGGAGGATTGGAGAACCACAGACAACGCGAAGGGTGGATGATGAAGGAGAGATTTACTGGAGGTATACTTTCGAACTCTTGTCAGAAGAAAACCCTGAGTAAAACTACCGAAAGGATGTATCGATGGTGTTGAGAACTGACCGTCAATTGATGGGGCACAGGTCTCGTTCGTGTCAAAACACTAATCAATTGCGTTGACCACAGTGTTAGTGATAGGTAGTGTTGTAGCCCGGCCCATGGTTTCGCTAATCCTTCTCCTCCGTCTATTTTCTCTCGTTTCCTATCAAGCAACTTGTTTCTCGACGAATAAACAAAAAACAATCAGAATCAACATATCATTGCAGCACAGCAGTAGTCCGTAGTGCATGGTGTTCAAGCGTGACTGGTCTACTTACCCATCGAGGCCGAAGATGTCGCACCAGAGTCCCCCTTCTTGACCGGGGAGGCAAACTTTGTCGCAGTACATGTCCATGCCCTGCCCGTCACAGCACGAGGCGGACAAGGGGTGGGGGTGGGGAGGATGGAGTGGGGTTGTAAAGTTACCTGCTGCGCTTGTCTGGTGACCGCAAGCGTAACGGTGTCTGATTTTCTGTATCTGATGTCGAGATGGGACAACTTTGTACCATGGCGTTCTTCACATTCGCATTTCGAACCAACGCAGAGAAAATAGAAGACGCAGGAGATGACGAAGATAAGACACAAATGAAGTAACACAACGTCACACCAAAACTTCAGACGCGGAAATTCGATATATTTTTTCATTCTCACGTGAATCTGAAGAGCACGGACGTTGGGCTCCCCAGCCTCGGCGAAGCATTGGGCATCGCCATCGTTTTCGAGATCGCAGTTGAAGCGGAGCTCGGCGAGATTAATGTCCTCGTCCGTGCACACGTAGATCTGATCACAAGGTTGCAGTGGCGGCGGAACGGGCGGGGATCGAGAGTCGGTACTCGGGCTAAGTTGATTGTCTTCGAACGTTTCACAACTAGCACCCTTCCTTTGTATGCTGTAGAAGAAAAAACAGTTGAGCCGTTCGTCCTTCGTCGGTTGCATTGCTTACAATACCGTCGAGTACAGCACGCCATTCGAAACAAACATGAACGTGGGGGCTTGCTTTGGCGTGTGGCTGTTTCAAGCCTGTAATTGAGGTACAGGTAGGACGCACGTCTTGAAAGGAATGCCGTTGATGTTGCTTTTCACGAGCTAAAAGCCACAGGCAATTGCCACAAGCCATAGCGCTATGGCATTCGTTCGAAGACGTGTTTATAACGAAACGTGTATAAAACGATCAAGAATACGATAACTCTGCATACAACAAGCGTCGAACTATAGTCGGGTTGTGAATGCTGACAAAACGAGGATCCAAAACATTGTTCGTTGCGACAACGTACTCACGTCCAATGAAGTGACCGACTGAACCGCACTGGGCGGTGGCACTGAGACTTCCTCCCCGCCACGGAAGTTGTAACTGTAGGTCTGCGAGTAAGGCGATATTTCCTCTTCAAACATAGAGTCGATGAACTCGTAGGAGTACGAGTCGAGGTCCTCCAGCTCGAAGTTGTAGCTGAAGTCGTACGACTCAAGCTCGTAGCTGTAGATATAAGCTGGTTCGTACGAAAGGTCGCCATTGGCGTCTTGTGCCAGGGGAGGAGGGGTCGCGGAGAGCTCCAGTATCTCCTCGACATCTGCCTCGTCGGGCTGCAGACGACACAGCCGGGGTGAAGGATGTAAAACGTTCGGGCGAGGTAGGGCGCGGGGCACGTGTTGCGTGAACCATGCTGCTAGAAAAGAGAGATGGTACTTCGTGCCAGTCGGTTGTTGTTGGGCGATGCTTTGCAATAAAAACATCACCAATATCACAAAGCGGGGCGGGACTAAGAAAGCCACAGACCACCTTAACTTCTGGTTGTGTATGTCTCACCGCTTTATCGTCTTCGGAAAGGGCTCGGGCGAGGCTGCCCGGAGGAGGGTGCTCGGGCTCGTACCGCACGCTGAGGTCGAAATCTAGATAGCTGTGGTTGTCGGATGCGATGTACTCGACCTCAGCATATACCCGCTCGGCGCTGCTAGACATCCGAGGTTGCCACAGCGACCCGTCCTCCATGTCCTATCGCAAAATAGTCAGAACGAAGGCTAGGTTACAGGAGTAAGGTGATTGTCGTATCGATGCGGAGGGGAACGGCGCTCGTTTGTGGTGGGCACGCCTTTTCACTGAGGTGCTGCGAAACCTCGAGAGAGATGATTGCGTGTGTTGATTGAGTCGAACAAATACATCAAATAAGCCATGGGGTACCTACCCTAGTGTTTGTCACAAGAATACGATTCAACGTCACTTCTGACTGCAGATGTCACCGTATCTGGACACCCGTGGTAAGCTGTGCATCCCAGGTCTTGAGTAGTGCCTAGCAGCAGTAAAGCTTGATGATCCACGAAGAAAATAGATTGGTTCAGTCTACCATGTGTTATTGCGACTTTTTAAATCACCAAGTTCTAGATTATGGCAATAAACGTCATCTCGAAGGCAGAATTTGTGGTTGTATGGGTAGTGTGAGGCTCACTCGACCTCCGTACTGTAGCAGATGTTGAACGATCTATCTGCCTACTACGACATTAAAGTCCTGGAACACATGATACATTAGCCCATCCTGAGGGGCCGCATGCAGATGTTTCATGTACCAAATATGGGCCGCAGATCAAGTTTGGAGCTCGGAACTACGATCGAAGATACGGGACCTCACTACCCCTCCCACACCTCTTAATGAAGGAAAGATATACTACGCATTTGGCGAAACAGTTTTCACTTCAACATGTACTCTGGAGTTTGGGGATCGGAGCTGCGATCAAAGATACGGGACCTCACTCTCCCTCCCACACCTCGTAATGAAGAAACGATAAACGCATGTGGTGAAACAGCTTTCACTTTACTCTGGCAGATACGTGTTCGTCGAAGACCCTCAGAGTAGTTAAGCTCAGCTCTCTTGTACGCAACATGCCGACGGAACAAATAGCATTACATACATACAAACGGTGATGGACGATCAAGAACGATTGCCGTCAAAATTGATTTTACAGCCATCAATCTTGACACCGAAACAGCGCGAAACCTCCCCCGACGACAAAGCACTCACCCAAGACGTCTGCATGATCACGATACCGGCCCCGAACTTGAGCACAGGTTGTTCGGGCTGAAGCGAAAAATCATCCCCGGGGGTTTCGTTGTCCACGATGACGACGTCATCGTTCCACGGAAAGTTCTCCACCAAGACAGCGCTAGTAAATTGCTGGAGAGGTGCGAACAGCGACGAAAATCCCATACATGAGTCACGGGAGCAGCAGTACTAAAAGTTGCTTGGTTTTGATCGTGAAAAGGCTGCGACGAGCAGTTGGTGGCGTTGGGATCGACCTTGTATTTGTGCATGTCCTACAGGATGGGGCTGTGTGGGAGACGTGGTTCGCCTGTTGAAGCGTCGAGAGGTAGATATTCCTTCTTTGGCGCGTGTAACGTCGGTATTCCTAATTGTGAGAACCTTGTATATGTATGATGACACGTGAGCAATCACGAATATGATCTTTAGAGAACACGTTTTTCTCGCGGTACATGTACGAGTCCAGGTGTTCAGAGTGTTGGCCAAGTGCTGTCTCAACGGGCGCTTGGGGGGGGGGCAGGCGGTGGTGTCTTCTCGACATTTAGAAGTGCGTACCTTGTCGTGGCGCATGTTGCTCATACAATGGTTCCAAGTCGGGTCCTACACCGCACAACACATGTTCTCCCCACCGGCATGATATTCAGTCTACATCTGTAACACAGGGCTCGTCGCACACGCGTGGTCTGATCCGTACGCACCTGTATGCACGATTCAGGTGGGCTGCCGCGCCTGGACCCTATCTGCTGGAACCACTGAGTGCATTCGGCGGAGAAGATTACAGCCCACTGGCTAGCCACTCGCTCGCACGTCGGGGCCGCGAAGGCAAGGCCGGCCTGCTGTAGTCCGAGTAGGACGGCCGCGAGGAACGCCACTCGTCCGGTCGCTGACATAATCATGATTGTGTCCGTGTATGCGTCTGGTGGCGGAGGATAGAAAAAGATACGCGAAGCTGGACTGGGGAAGTGATCAATGGAGTGTTAACGTGGGTGTGAACGTGGGTGTGTTGTGGAATGGGGTAGGGAACGTGCGCATGCACACACCTTCTCCGTGAAGAAGGATTATATTGGCGGGGCTTCGAGACGTGGATTTTGGCCAGGCGGCGAAATAATGGTCGGTTACGTGCCGATTCGGCATTTCCATGTACATGAGCATGATTCCGCGACCCCCCCCGCCCGGCAGCTCGCGAAAATGGCCAGCCCAGTCCCCAGCACACACGCGGTAGTTCTGCAGCACTAAAAGGCCCACACAAACACGTACACACACACCAGCCACTTTTCGTCTGCTCCCTCGTTCGAACATGGTGCGCTGTTCCGCTCTTCCCGCGGCCCTCGTGGCGCTCGGATCATCCTCCTGCACGGCCTTCGTGACCCCGCTCGTGACCCGCGTGCCCGTGGCGCCCTCGACTACCAGCATGGCGCTCAAGGGTCCGGCAGGACGCTCATCCTCGCCTATCAACAAAGCGGCGAGCGTTGTCGGCAAGGTGAGCAATCTCTGTCGTCGTTGTTCCTGCTGCTGCCGCGGCCGCCGCCGCTGCGATGCAATGTTGTTGTGAGCATGAGCCCAACGTCAACATCACAATCGGAACGCGGAAACTCGCGCCATTTTGGTCCAGGCACCGACCGTCGTCGTGCCGCTGGGCAGCTGCCCGGCACCAGCTGGACCATGCGTTCATCCTTTTTGACACGCAATGTGCGCTAGAAGAGGCATAGAGTCAGCTTGTGAACAAGAAAATAGCCAAAACATCGGAACCCCTGACCGCTACAACTCATTTTTGCCGAGCGCGCAGCGCTCCTGTATTCATGATGATCATGCTGTGGTTCTTCTTCAACCCAAGGGCGGGTTTCGATTTGCGTTTTCCCCCAAAGCGGAAAGCATCGCTCATCTGGTCTCTCTCTCCAAAACTTGCACCTCAACACAAACACTCACACAAATGTACAGGCCCTTTTCGGCCGGCCTGGAGGGGTCAAGATGGGGAACAACAACAACGATGGTGGCATGATGGGCGGTGGAAACGGCAACATCAACAACGGCGGGCAAGGTTCCTTCGATGACAACGAGGAGGAGGGCAGCGGCATGGACGCGCTCGCGATGCTGGGCGTGCTGGCAACCGTCAAGGATGGGGCGGGGGGTGCTTGGGACGCGTATAACAGTGCCTTGGCCGAAAAGCCGATTCTTGTGAAGGTGCGGAGAAGTTTAGTGGTAGCGGTTGATGAGGAGCACGATGACTGACCACTTTACCACCACTTGCAGCAGTAGTCAGCGTTGACACCGTTCTTCTCAACAAAAGTAATTGAACGAGTCCGTCGAGCTGTGCGCTGTCTTGCATCGCCGTGCCTGACTGGTATACCCAGCGTCCTTCACCCCGGTGAACGCCAGCACTTTGCTTCAGGAAGTCAATACCGCAAGACGGAAGCTGGCGTGACGGTTCTCAGTCCATTGCAACCGTCCTTAGCAGTAATGGGAGCGCGTGGGGGCCACTCATGCCGCCTTGCTGCTTGAATATTTACTGCTGCGACGACTACCTGCTTGGTCTAAGCGGATTGGGCATGGTTTTTGCGCATCGAGGTTAACAAGTGCCGTTCTAGGACAGTTTCCGATCCGCCTGTTAGTTACGCAACCCAATCCGCTTCGACCAAGCAGATAGCCGTCGCAGCAGTAAATATTCAAGCAGCAACACAATAGCCCGCGGTATGAGTGGGCCCGACGCGCTCCAACTACTGCTATGGACCGCCGCAATCGGCTGAGCATCGTCACGCCAGCTTCCGTGTTGCGGTAGTGACATCCTGAAGCAAAGTGCTGGCGTTCACCGGGGTGAAGGACGCTGGGTATGCCAGCCAGGTAAGGCGATGCAAGACAGCGTACAGCTTGACGGACTCTCGTCTTTTGACTTCCTGAAGGAAAGTGCTGACCTTCACCAAGGTGAAGGACGCTGGGTACGCCTGCTAGGCACAGCGATGCGAGACACCGCACAGCTTGACGGTCTAGGGCATAAACTTAAGTTGAGAAGCACGATGACCACTAGACCACTAGTCCGCGCTGATAGTGGTCTTGAGTGGGTCATCGTCCTCCTCAATAGCGGTTGCTGGTTGTCTCATGACTCTCTTAGCAACATTGCAGTCTATAGGCAGCTTGTCTGCTGTAACATTGATCGTTCTTCGGGGTGGTATGCTGGTGTTGTCAATCGTCGGGGGTTCTTAACGCACGCGTGTCTAGTTGTTTTCCTTCGCGAGTGATCCTGCTGTGTGGTATGATAGGACTTAATGAAGTTTGTCATAGGTCCTCAACTTTGTTAATTTCGTGCGTTTTTTGGAATTGACTTGTGATGACAGATGGACTTTCATTTTCTGGGCCTTGTCGCGAAGATAGATGAGGAGGTGATGGTTTTAATGCAACGATTACAACGACGACAAGGTTGTCTACCGTCGTTTCGCCGCGACTCTTGTGGGAATAGAGCTCGGTCCATGTTCACCTCACTATTCAGCGCCACTATTTTTTCGCATGATTTTTGTTTTAGTTCCGGAGCGGGTACCATACGCGCGCTATATTGGGAGAACAGACGCGCTGACAGGTGGGACCCAGTACACACCATAGATCCGCCAACGAGTGATACTACGAGTGGTCCCTGCGATGGAAGGGAAAATAACTAATCAATGGCAACCCAAACGCCACGCTGCCTACACTTCGGCGGTGACAAGCACAAGTTTCTCAGATAATCGTTTTGTACTCGGTCTCAAAAGGACGTTCTGGGAGCATTTCCCCGGCCGTACTGTACTCGAAATACCATCACCCCGAGTACAGTTTTATGTGTTCTTCTCTAACGTCGCAAAATGAATAAAAGCATCGTTGTTTGACCTGAGTGTTGAGTCTTGTATGTTTGGATGCTGCGGCACCGTCGGCAGCCTCTGGAGCTGTTGTATAGCGCTCGAGAGTGCCAAGAGGAGCTTATGTTTTGGAGGGTGCAAATGTTTGTTTTGTGCCATAAATAGCAGTGGGGCGCGCAATGATCCAGAACAGCCTCGATCAAAGCGCTCGAACGTGGGTTGAGACAGAAATGCTGGGTGGCGTCGTGATACGACGAGCCGCTTTTCCAGAACTTTTTCCCGCACAAGACGCAGTTCCTTTACATTGCGACTGACCCTCCCACCCATTTGGATCCACATCTTTATCACGAGTTCGCCCCCCCGCCTCGGCGTCTTCGTGCTACAGGCTTGCACGTCCTTTGTAGGATTTTCCATCGGCGACTTCTTGGCCCAGAAGGGCACATCTAAGGAGAGCTTCTCGTATGCGCGATTGGCCCGCATGGCCGCGTTCGGGTTTCTGTTCCACGGGACTATCTCCCACTTCTTCTATAACGCGCTCGACAACGCCCTGCCCGGCACCGCCGCAATGACCGTCATCCAGAAGGTGATGCTAGATTGATTTGTTCGTGAAGTACTTACAACGCCGCATTTTTTTTCTGGTGTATGTGTTCGTCCCATCCATTCTGGCGGCGGTTTACAGGCCTTTCGGCGTGTTCAGTATGCCTGACGTATCAGCCGGGGTCACACAAGAGGATAGTCACACAGGAGCTTTTTGCATTTTTGTCGTTTGTGTTTTTGCTGAAACACTTTCAATCCATCTCCATCCATAGAGAAGGAAATTTTTGTAAGCAAGACAGTGGTTAATTTTCAATAGTGTAGGTTTTGTGGCGTGCTTGGGCTGGTGTGGTTCAGCAAGCACACCGGAAGGGATTATGAGGGCCCGGCCTTCCGTCATGGTGCACGGTTTCCACGACTTGCCAATGGGAGAGGGCATAAGGAGACTTTTGATTGTCGTTCGGTAGGGTGTTGAGCACACGCCTGCTCACCGATTTCCGATCGGGTATCGATGTGGGACCTCTCGCCTTAATGTACGGGATGTGCTTGCGTTTTCAATGATAGTTCCACGAGGTGTCATTCAGACAGACGCTTCTTTTTCAATCTTTCGGTTTCTCCAACGACCAATACTCTCGGCATAACCGCCACGGTTTTGAGGACGAGGCAATAGAGGCTGCCTGCCTTCTTAAGCTTCTTTTTTTTTTAACAGGTGATCGGCCACGTTTATGAAAGCGCCCCGACCTGCCCAACGATCTTTACGATAGCCTCTCCCGCGGGATCACCGTTGTATACCGCCAATATCCTAACGCGCATTCTGTGGGACTGATTCCCCCCCTGTTTTTCTCTCCGTGGAGGGTCGATCGGTCCGTCCCGCTCATCTTCTCTCGTTTTACGTTGACCGCCATCTCCTTGATGTGATCCGGAACGACTCCATTGCCCTAACATATTTTACAAGCACCGACGTTCCGTGTTTCCTTGCTCTCGCAGGTGATCATCGACCAGGTCTTCTGGGCCCCTATCTTCACCCTCATCTTCTTCACGTGGATCGGGGTAACTTCCGGCGCCTCCCCCAGCGAGATCGTGGCCAAGGTCAAGAGCGACTTGGTCCAGGGGGTGGTGGGGTCGTGGACGGTGTGGCCGCTGGCGCACACCATCAACTTCAAGTTCGTCCCCACCGAGCAGCGCCTGCTGTACATCAACTCCATCCAGATCTTCTACAACGTGTTCCTGTCCATCATCGGATCCAAGTAAAATACCTTTATCAAGCTCGAAGTCTGCGTGTGAGCTGGGGTACGGTTCGCAGCATTTCTTGCCTTACCGAGGTGGGAGGTCGAAAAGAGAAGGCGTTGTCGGCTGTTTTGCATGGTGACGCTGCTTCTGCGTGATTCCTGTAGCGGGAGAAAGAGTAGCTTTCCCGGTAGGTGGCTGCTGCTTGGCTAGGCTGTTGCTAGCTTGGAAGCCTTGCGAATGTCGCGGAGTACAGAGGTAGTTTTTCGTGTCTTGCTTAAAATAAAATCCAGAGTCTGGAGTAGTTCCTTCCATTCCGGGGCGGGAGGAATGAATTGGCAAGAAACGAGTGAAGCGACGGTTTGGCATCATCGCAGTCGCGGGGTGGTTTCGGCCAAGTGCAGCACATCGTGTTGGTGTTCCCCGTGCTCCAACGCTCGTCAATATATAGTAGCAGCATGCAGCCAGGCGAGGCGCATCTAGACGCCGAGAGTTGGTGTAAATTAACGGCAGGAATGGGCAGGGCGGGGCCTTCTGATTGATAAACGGTCGGTCGTGAGGTTGTATGCCGTTAGCAGGCGTCTTTGGGGCGGGGTATCGAGGCATTGACGACTGGTTCTTCGCTGCTGTTCGGGTCGTTTAGGCGGCTGCGTTTGATGGGCACAAAGTGCGGGTGTTTGGTTGTCTTGTCTCCTTTGTGCTTCGTTCGGACCGCGAAGGCGTAAGTGTTCCCCTTGCCACCCCAAAGTGAGAGCGTTTATTTGGCTTTATTTGTTGATATTCTTAACAAGGTGTACCGGTTTTAAGGTTTAGAACTACACGGCGGTTGTCGTCGTGAACTACACACACAACACCAAGTAAATACCAAAGATGCGAGATTGCGACCAAAAAATTAAGTCAAGAGACCCACGAGCCTACCCAATCGCGGTTGAATCTTCCGTCCATTGGCTTTGTTAGTCTGGGCGGGAGACGCAAGTACAGGAGAGGCGTCTGCTGATGCTTCTGCGTTTCGTCCGCCGCGGGAAAGAATAGATGGGGCCGAAGCTGGCAAGCATGCCCGTTCGTAGCTGTTGACGGTATTGATCATGGGCGTTCTTAGTCCAAACGATTTGGCTTCTGACGCTTCTTCTGAAAGTACACCTACGTCGTGGTTGCGAAGGGCAAAAACCCGTCATACAATCATGCCGATGCGCACGACGCTTTGCAGGTGATGCCAGCGAGGATAAGCGTGTTGACCAGGCCTGTTGGCACCATGTACACGGCGAGCCGGAGCCGGGGTTGGACGGTCTTGTGTCCTTTGCCTCATTCGTTGAGACGCTTGGTTTTGTTTGTGACCACCATGGACCAACATGCCGCTTGCTTAAAGAGCGATTATCTGCTCACGCGTCTGGAGTAACCCTTTTCCAACGTGCTCGATCTAAAGGTCGGCGTTTCGACGCCTCGCGCACGCTCTTGCCCCAGCGGAACAAACCAAAGCAGTGTCTGTTGTGCTTGTATGCACAGGCTAACAACACGTGTGTCTTCACCGGACACATGTTTCGCTCTGCGGCCATCAGCTCGGCCATACCAACAAGGTAAGTGTGCTGGTTGTCGGCAATATCAGCAGCACATCCAGACACTGGCAGCTATTCGCCCAGCTCATGACTCGATATCACGTCTGGACTTGCTTGCGTTCTACGGTAAGGGGTGGTCATCCTCCCTCAAGCGAGGCTCTAAAACTCAGCGCGGTCTTCTTGAATCCGCACAGCGACTGCTGTGGAGGGTGGCGACGAGTCTGGAGCAGTCTTCAGGGCGCAATACCGCGCTTGAACAGCTACGCTCCGGTAGTAGCCATCATTCGGAAAACAAGCACATGGGCGGGGGCAACACGCTCGAAAAGTTGTATCTTCGTGCACGAGGAAGAAAATCGCGTCGTGGTGCATGTGAATTGGAGTGCTACAAGTGTAGCCGCATTCCCCGCAGCAGCAGGGGATCGCCCGCTGGGGACAACTCCCTTGGTGATTGAAGAACGAACCCACTACCACAGAAATCTTGCTTCTTCCGAGCTCTTAAACATGGGACTGAGACCACATGAACAGCTGCCCCGCCCCCCCCCTAGCATGGTGCGCGACGAATGAACCTGCAACATCGGTTCTTCATCCAATGAGCGGCGGATGTTGCACTTTCTTTCAACGTCTCACGGCGGGAAAGTGCAAAGCAGAAAGGGGGGGCGGGGGCGACCCTTCATATCCACCATGCGCCCTTTATCTCTCTCAATCAATTTATCCGGACAAGAGAGATACATGAACAGTGCTAACGTTTAGATGCAACAGCGAAAAGCGGCATGACTCCCTCCCTCCCTCCCTCACAGTCTTCATATGCATCGAAAGCCAATCCTGCAACAAGACTTGAGAATTTCTCGTCCTAACGAGATTGCCAAAGAAGGACGGCACCAACCTTCTCCAGAAGCACACGTTGAACGACAACACAAGTGAGACAACACGCCGTGTTTCAAAACCGGCTGAGCAACGCGATACAGATAGCGCCTCCGCACCTAAGAACTTGGCATCTAAGAGTTTCACTATTTCACTCTCAAAATGTTTATAATCACGCATGAGAGATTTGAGGACCATTCGTGACCTACACTAATAGCGGCCATTTGTAGCCCAAGTGAGGAACTGTAAGAAAACCAGCCTCGGCCAAAGCTAGGCAGCTAAGAACATCATTCTTTGAAATACGAAGTAGGAGCTATTTGTAGCCCACATGAGGAAAATAAAGAAGCCCAGTCTGGGCCAAAACAAGAGTATGGTTCCAAAGTGCAGACGCTATCTTGACCAACATCCGACGGCAGGCGGCGTGCGAGACAGTCCGCATTGTCCCACATCTCGGTGTACCAGGTATTTTCAAGCATTGACGTGGGCTCGTGTGTACAGAGAATCGCGGTGTCTTACACGCCCCCGTGCGGCAGCTTTTCCGGTCAGTTCAGGAAGCAAACAAAAACGGCACTGGAAACTCCACACGCTTACGCTACGAGAAGGATCAAATCAGAGCCTACAGTTGAAGTTAAGTTAACCTGCAGATACATAAGTTGTCCCTATGGTGACTTGGCAGCTTGAGTCTCCCGGTGCAGCTCGATTTCTCGTTCGAACTTGTAGCGGTCGAAGCTCTCTTCGTTGGTGTGCTGGTTGAGGCACGAGTTCACTGGAGGTGTGTGATGCGGGTAGAGCGGCGCGTGGGTAGAGGAGCAACGGTGAGCATAACACGGACACAACAAGGCACGTGTACAAATCACGTACCATTGCCGCATTTGCAAAAGAGGAGAAAATGGATGCAACACATGCAGCCGATGGGTGCTACGTATGCAAAAGGAGGTGGTCGCGGGTGCTGGAAATGCGGCTTATCTGTACCGGTTGAATCCACGAACTATCATGGAGGATCTCCGGACAAATTGGGCGCCAAAGTTCTTGTTGCCACCTGCCCCTTTCGCGCTACACACCCTGGACCGTTCGAGAAGCACGGAGGACTTTACGAGTGAGCCTCGTAGGGCGGGTCGTGCGCTGCTGGGGCAAGCAGCACAACGAACAACGGCCGTATGACTCACTCAAGGCGTTTTGTTCCCTGCAGGAGAACACGACCAGCATCCCCTTCTCCCTGGCGCACGCGGCAAACTTGGCCACGCTGTCGTCGCACCTCTTCAGAGCGATCTCCTTCAGCTCCTCCCGTAATCTCTGCAAGCGATGAGCAAGCAAGGACAACCAAGGAGGCGTTTCCGTGAGAAGTAGCGCTTGTCCGCTGGGCTTTTGGGGTTTTGTCGACGACGGACTGCACGTGCATGAGCGTTGTTGGTGCTTGGCTATTCGAGTCGGGGCTTGTAGGACCTGCTGGTTGTTATATGCATACACAGATGAAGACATTCCTCGAGAGGGATGCCGAAGACGACCCGCCTAGATACTGAATTAGCAGCCACCTTTAGCTCGAGTGCTCTTAAACTCAGCTTGCACAGAGGGGGTGAGTTGGAACCTGGACAGACCCCTATCCGATTTCCTGCAGTATTCGCGCACAGCTCTTTGTCTGCGTTTCCACTGCTTGCAACTTCAAACTTCAAGTCGTTCTTTCGTGGGGGCGTCGTGGACGGGAAACTGATAAAGCGAACGCAGCCAACATGGAGAGCAGGCAAAAACTCTGTGTTCAAAGCCACCACATCAACGGGACCACTGCAGACAAGCAGAGCATGGTGTGAAGGCGGAGAGAACTGGATGCTGACTCGGACTGCAGAGTGGAAACACAGGCTCGTTTGCCTTTTTAGATGCTCAATATCGTCTTACATGTTCTGCTCTCTTGCTCCAGCTGAGCCGATCGTTTCTCCCTCCGTCCTTCAGAGTTGTCATGGTACCCTTATCTATCTCTCTGCTGTTGCCCTGATGAGGAACAGTGCCGGGTAGGTGGTGGGTAAGCCCACAGCCCACACAACCAAAGCAACTGGGGGGGCGCGGGTCTGGCGGGTACCCGTTGTCAGTGTAATTTGCGGAGCCCCCCTCAAAGCCCCTCTCTGCTCTGCCCAACTAGCCAACGGTGACTATTTCGACAACACACCAAGAGCGGTTTGTGGTGAGGGCGACACACCACGAGATCTACGCGAAAGGAAAAAGAAGTGCAGCAGTAGTGGAGCCGGCCAAAAGTATGTCACGATTCCTGTCGGGCTTTTGGGGAGGGAACCAGCAACAGGCAGAGGAGGGGCAATCGTCCACAGCGACCGGCTCCACCTCGGCAACAACGGGCGCTGCATCATGGATCACCATGACCGACCCGCCGGGGGGGGGACGGGGAGAGCCCGTCATGGCGGTGAACATGTCCACCGTAGACGATGTGCTGGGCAAGCTTGGGGACGAAGGCGCGGTGAACGTCGTGGCAATCTTTGGCGCGGCCCGCGGGGGCAAGAGCTTCCTGATGAACCAGCTCGCGGGACAGGACGACATCTTCAAGATATCTAACGACAAGGTTAGACTAGTTAGTTGTTGCCACAAGAGTCGGGGATAACTCTTATCAAACAGAGTGGCAGGAAGGGCTTGTGTGTTGCGCAACGCGTTCAGTAGCTAGCATGGGGTCCTCCAGCGGGAGGTGTACTTGTGTGCACTGCTGCTTTGTCCTCCATTGCGCGCTCAACATAAGCGGCGCATCTTCTGATAGACCTCCACACAAGGCGCGCACTCAAATACGTACCCGACACCCAACACACGAAGGCGAGGCAAGAGGCAAGGTTGACCTCCGTGTCGTGCAACGTAGAGCTTCGCCAGTTTACGAAGGCAAGGTAGAGGCGTCGTTTTCCTTTCATCCTGGCCATTGGTTTTATTATATTGATTACTTCATTGTCTATTTCATCAAACGAATTCGGGGCCGTAACTTAAAACATGACGCTGATACAAACACGCTTGTTCCCGCTGCCGTTTCAGTCGGCAATCGGCAACTAGAATCACCCCTTCCCCGCCTCTTGAAAATATCCGTACTTGTAGCTTTCAGAGAAGGTTATCTGGTAGCTGACTGTCATTGTAAAGAAACCGACTCATAAGTGAGACAGAACAAGCCTCGATCGTGCTTGCCACCAGTCCGATGAAAGTGACTCACGTCGCCGGCGTCCGGCCAAAGACTCAAACCAAATGAACCTACGACCAGTTAGTTCTCCACTCCTCTCATTTGTGAAGCGATCGCGCCATGTCTATCTCCAACTCAAACCAAATGAACCTACGACCAGTTAGTTCTCCACTCCTCTCATTTGTGAAGCGATCGCGCCATGTCTATCTCCAACTCAAACCAAATGAACCTACGACCAGTTAGTTCTCCACTCCTCTCATTTGTGAAGCGATCGCGCCATGTCTATCTCCAAAATGATCAACAAGAAAAGTGTGCACTGAAAATAGTGCTGAACAACCCATCAGAAGTTGGTGAGTGAAGTTCGTGCGCCAGCTTGTACGTCGTGCAACAGCCCCACATTTGAGATCGGCACTATGTACCGACAGCAGAGGAGCTGTTTGCAACAGATTCCTTACCCCCATAGGACAGTAGGGCTGCGTATGACGTCGTCCACAGGACTGAGTGTCCTTATGTGTAACAATAGAAATGGATGTTCATGGGAAGTTATCTGCTGTACGGGCACAGCTGCCAGTTGCGTGTAGTCGTCCGATGTATACATATTTCTCGACTCCAAGGGGTGGGTACCAGTACTGCTATAGCGGCCGGACGACGAGCATTCGCCTCGATTCACTGGCCGTAAAAGTTGCCTCAAGTGCAGCCTCTGAGCAGCACTTTCCCGTGCCTGGAATGGGGGCTCGCTACCCACCACCACTACTGTCTGCTTACACAATTTACCGCGCGTCTCCCCCTGTTATGTTTAGGATCCGTGCACGCAAGGCGTGGATGTGTCCCGTGCCGTGGTGCCCCTGAAGGACTTCGCCACCTTGGACGGATGCACCGCGCCGAGGGGGGTGTCTGCCAGCAACCAAGGTTAGCCGCGTGTTAGCTTGTGGTATGTGCGGACGCAGCTTCTTCTTGTCGTGTCGGTTTTGTCGTCTACAACACGTAGTAGGCGTGTCACGTGGGGTGTGTGTATGCAGGTACTGTGGGCACGCAGAGATAGATGGGCGCCTCCCAACTCCCCGTTGTTAGATGCTTGTGCCGTCTTGTTTTGCACCGGTGCACCCACCGCGTCGTGTGACGATTTTCAAACTCGTCCTCCTCTCGTTATTGTTTCTATCGATGCCTCCACCGCCACCAACACCGCACCTACCGAGTTGTTCTGTCGGTTTATTACCCCTCCTCCGCTCTTATTGCTGTCGACACCTCCGCCGCCGCCAACGACAACCCCCCACCTAGTTCGGGTGTTGTTCGCGGACGTTGAGGGTCAGGGCGACCGGGACGCCGCCTACGACGCCAGGCTCGCCTCCGCCATCCTCCCTCTCACCAAGTGCGTGATCTTTAACTGGAGGGACTCGCTGCAGGTGGACCGGATGCTGAACCTCTTGGGGGTGATGCAGAGGGCGGCCCACAACGTGGACCTAGGCAAGTGGTTGAGGTGACCTAGGGTTAGGAGGGCAGCGTAGGCCCTCTGTAGCGCGGGTGGCCGGCAAAAGTGCCGGTGAAACGAAGGGCACAGGTAGTGCAACTTCGCACGCACCCGTGAATCTAGGCGTTGAGCACCTGGAATGACGCTTCAGAGAAGCCATGCTGGTAGAAGTGGAAGTGTCATTGAAGATACGTTTCTCCTCAACATGTAACACGGGCAGGCAGGCGCTGTGTTCACGTTTCAGCTCGCGGCCTCCGAGGCTAGGGTGGTCGAGCCGATCTGGTGTCGATTGTGCCTGCGCTGCTTATGTTGCCACTATATGCTGCCACGTGGGCTTTACATTCTAACGGGGCTCCACGACCAAATCTTGCACACCCGCATGCTTCCATGATGCTGATCGTTCTTGTTTTCCTATTATATTAATACTTCCCTTTTTTTTTCTTCTCTTCTCGAGCCGACATGATGCATTGTCTATTGCGGCTTGCTCTGCGTCTACTGGATTTTTTCATACTGCCACGTGGGCTTAACATTCCAACGGACCGCGCGACCAAATCTTGCACACCCGCATGCTTCCATGATGCTGATCGTGCTT